GTATGGTCCACTCTGGCAAGGTTTTGTTGTAGAAAAAGTATGATAAAATATACGTGAGGGCTGTGATATCATGTTTCAAGTTTGGATGCCTCGCTGCGATTCTCGCGAACAGTGCATCCCTATCCTTGATTTTAAGTCGTCGTGCGCTGTACAAGTTAGCTTATGTGGTCGTTGTTGGTGACGGGCAAACCCACTGCTCGTTCTGAAATTCTGCGGGCAGCAGCAGCAACACGCCGGCCCCCCCACAAGAGGTCGCCAGCTGTTCCCAGAAATTGTGTTGGTGCATGATGGCTTTCCATCTGTCCTGCAATTTCTTTTTGGGCAGACCCTTCTTGTCCTTGTCCGGTAAATACTTTTTAGCAAAAATTTCGGCGACTGAACATGTGTGCTTTTCTTTGTTGCGCTTGGCAGCATGGTAGCGTTGTGCGATTATTATACACGAGTACCTTTCAGCGGCCGTCTTGAAACGTGGACTGGGCTGTAGGCTGTGGCAATCGTCTTCCAAATTATCGGGATGATTGCCAGCCCCCTGTTCGCTCTGCGACCTCAGTTCTGGCTTTGCACGCTGTGCATTATGATCGGCTCGGGCCCTCTCACGCTGTAAATCGTGCTGTAATTCGGTCAAGATATTCACGGAGCCTAACTCCCGGGTAAGGTGATTAGCCATGGCTACAGCGCGTTTATAGGCGTTGTCAGGCTTTTTGCTTGTCGCGTGCGAATTTTCGGAACTAGGGGGGTCGTCGCTGCTGCTGGACTCATCAGCAGCACCTACCGCCTCGAGGCCTAAGGGTTGTGCTGGTGGTGTGGGGAGGTTGCTAGGTTCTGCAGTGGCAAGAACACTGTAGATCAGTGGCACAGAGTCAGGGTGCGCGGCAACACACGCCGCCACCTCTGCTTGGTTATGGCTTATACCATACACGAGAGCCTGGACAGCCTGCAAAGGTGAACAAAGGTGCAGTGCATACGGCGGGAGTGAATGACAGACCTCTTTGATACTACAGCGATGAATGGGGCTGTCTTCAGCAATGTTGGACAGAGAA